AAAAACAAAAAAGCTGGAAGAAGAGTAAACAAAATGTGATATATCATGTCATACCTCATAATAAGGATAATAACTCATCACATTAATTTATTAATCAAAATTACAATTATTGAGAATCCGAGTATTAAATAATTAAGCAGCAATAGCAGCTATCTTCTCTCCATTGTAACAACGTCCCCAATACCCACTTACGAAATAATTAGGCCCTTTTCTTAGCACTATCTTATCAAGTCCAGAATCATACGTCTTGCCCTTTGCTGGCCACGTGCAATTATCATAACCCCACTTGTCCACAGCTACAACACTGTCATAGCGTGGGACATAACTGAAAACTGAAATTTTGAGACATGTTTTTAGTCTAATTATTATTGAATCAAAAGCGGTCAACTAATAAAAATATTTTTTTTAATGGATTCTAACGAAAGTTCCAACAAAAATATTCTGTTGGAATGAGTTTTCATTGAAATTTCCGTTAGATTTTGACGATTCCAACTGCAGATTTTTCAATGGTTGTGGAAATAAAAATTCCAACAGAATTTGCATACTGAAATCCGTTGAATAAATAGCCGTTAGAATCATCAAATTCCATCTAAGATTCTAATGGAAAATTCATTTCAGTGAAATATTTGAAATATGTATATATTACCGTAAAATTTGCTGTCAGAATACAACAATTTTTTTGTAGTGTTAAAACCCCCAATAATTATAAAAATAAATAACAAATCAATTATTCATACACATTAAAATTAGTTAGTAATTAATTGCAATAAAAAATCTTAGATCATATGAAAATAAAATAAAATTTGTAGATGAACGACTTAAATTTTTTTTCTTGAATATTTTACCTAGAATGTCACCAGAGTGGAATCTCTTGTTATCTACCCAGCCGGATACATGGTAGCTCCAGCCCGAAGAGCCTCCAACAATATAAGTTTTTGAGTGGGCCGGGCTGGGCCACCAATGAAGCAACACACACAACAACAATACTACTTTCAACATCATTGAATTTACTTTTACTGCAGTCATCTTGTGACTAGTAAAAAATTATCTACTGTTTTTCCTTCAACAAGCTTATATGTGTTTTGGACAAGAGCAATCAATCACCCTTATATAAGCCCATATTAGCTACAATATTATGAAAATCTTTAGTAGCATTGTTAATTGTTGTGATTTCATCTTGTGTTGCTAGATATAGGTAATCATATATAATGAGTAGACAAATATACCAATCATATTTACACAAATTTTGGACATGTATCTGATTATAATAATTATGTTACTTTAGATTATTGTTAGTTATGCAAAATATATTCTTGTAGGCTTTGTTTAGGCCCAGGATAAGGTCCATCTATGTATCTATATATATGTGTATATGTCTTTGTGAATAATATAAAATCTCTTTTTCCCACATTCTCACCGTATCAGAGCAGGTTCTATTGGGATCATGCGATGACGTACATGTTCCCCTCACGTACCCGTTTATGGGAGTCTGTTTCTAGTACGATTTGGGGTACCCAGCTCCGTGTATGAGTTTGGGCTTTCTTATTAAGAACTCACAAGTGAGGGAGCGTATTAGAATATTCACTTATGAGTTGTCTCACATAGTTTATATAGGGAAAATATGTCTAATTTATAAATCTAATGGGCTACTCCTCCTTCCACCAATTAGTTTTGAGTTGTAAGAAATGGGAGGTAAAAATGGGTGCGGTCCCACGTAGATTAAGCGCACCAACAAGAAAAGTTGGTTCCATCCGAAAATCAATTGGTGAAAGGAAAATTAACCTATTAGACTTATAAATTAGACATATTTTCTCTATATAGACAGTGTGGAACAACTTTTAATTAGACCTATTTTTCCTATCTTACAAAATAGGAGAACACATGATTTATTGTTGAGGATAAAGATTGATTTGTTATTAAAGTTAAATAGTAATTTCTTTTGATATTTTGGAAAATTGAATTTCAATTTTTTTAAAAGCTAAACGGTTATAATGTATTGATAAATTAAAAGATTAAAAAAACTAACCCTCTTGATTCAATGATTTTTTGAAGATACAATTAAAATATTTTGGTATATGACTTGTTATCAAATGAATACAAAATCATCGTGATTTGTTATTAATGTTCATAAATAAGATTTTATTGAAACATAAAATGTCTATAATTGTTTTAAATTTATATTTTGTAATTTATTGTGCATATTCAAGTAATATTTCCTAAAAACAAATACATTTAATAGATGTTTTTAAGACATGTTGTATGGTTGGTTACTAAAGAATAAGAAATGCAGTTATTCGTAATTAATATGAAGAATCAAATTTTAATTGCGATAATTATCACAAAATAATTTTGAAAATTGATACCACTTTGTTTATATAGAAAGTTGTGTTGTTAACTTGATTGCACAAATACAACAGGTATGTATAATGTAATTTTCATTTCTTTTATAAATATTAAATTAATTTTACCATATTTCTTTTAATACTAAATAAATCTATTTAATTACAAAATCAAATTTATTATTTTAAATTATTAATCAATCTCTTTGATAAGAGGGTGTTCCCTGTGATAAGAGGGTGCCACAAAAGCTAAAAGGTAAGTTCTATAGGACGGCGATTCGCCGGCGATGCTATACGGAGCTGAATGTTGGCCTACAAAAAGGCAACATGTCCAACAACTAAGTGTAGCAGAGATGCGGATGTTGCGTTGGTTTTGCAGGCACACAAGAAGAGATAGAATCCGAAATGAGGATATTCGTGATAGGGTCGGGGTGGCCCCAATCGAGGAGAAAATGGTTCAACATCGGCTGAGGTGGTTCGGTCATGTCCAACGGAGGCCTCCTGATGCACCGGTGCGTAGGGGAGTTCTACAGCGGGCCGATGTTGTTAAGAGAGGTAGAGGTCGGCCTAAACTCACTTGGGAAGAATCGGTTCAGAGAGACCTTAAAGATTGGAATATCTCCAAGGATTTAGCGGTGGATAGGAGCGCTTGGAGACTAGCGATCAACGTGCCCGAACCGTGACTTTTGCTTCTTTCTCTTTTGCTCCAATCTCCTTTTTTTTTTTAACTACTATTTCTATTGAGTTTCATCTCTAGCCTACCTCAACTTGTTTGGTACTAAAAGGCTTTGTTGTTGTTGTTGTTGTTGTTGTATTAATCAATCTCTTTTAAAAAATATAGACAAATATGGCAAATAGTATTACCAACACAATTGAAAAAGATTGTTATATATATTTTATTTTGAAGTAAAAAAAATTAATTTTTAGTTATATCAAAAAATGTTTCTTATAATTTATAATATTATAAATATTTCATTTTTCTCTCTAATTTATTAGTCGATACGAAATTTTTTATGATATTGTGAATCACAATATGAGTTTTCCTAAAATTGTTTTGGTGCATTTATTGATAATGTCCAATGACATTTTTGAACTCCTTTAATAAATGATTTTTGGTATGGCTCGTTACAAAATGAATAGAAAATCGTAGTAATTTGTTATTAATGTTGAGGTATCAATTATATTATAGTATTGTGGTAGTTATGTCGATAAGATTTTTGTAATTGATTTCTAAATTTATTTTATACTTATATTTTGCAATGTCTTCACGCATATTTCGGTCTACATATCGTTGGATACCCAACAAAATAGGAGAATGCATGATTTATTATTAATGATAAGCACTGGTTTGTTAATAAAGATAAATAGTTAAATTGCTTTTCATATTTTAGAAAATTGGGTTTATAATTTTTGAAAAACTGAAACAGTTGAGTTATTGATAAATCAAATAATTTTAAACTAACCCGCCGAATTCAATGAATATACACACATATATATATATATCGGTATATTATAGGTTACCAAATGAATAAAAAATCAATGTGATCATTGATTTTTTATTCATGTTGATAAATATGATTCTATTGTAGCATAAAATTTTCATAATTTATTTTCGATTTTTGGTTTGTAATTATATTTACAATTGTATTGTGCATATTCAAATAATAATTTTTAAAAACAAGATATATATAATAAACGTTTTTCAAGACATGTTGTATGGTTGGTTATCAAAATAATAAGAAATTGCAGTGATTCGTAGTTGATATGTTGAAATGATTTTTTTATTGCGATAATTATCACACATAATTTTCAAATTTGGCACCACTCTATTTATAGAAAGTCGTGCTATTAACCAGATTGTACAATTTACAACAGGTATGTATAATTTAATTTCCATTTTCTATAAATATTAGAATAACTTTTACTATATCTTCTTTAATAGTAAGTCAACATATTTAATTACAAAGTCAAAATTACTATTTTAGATTGTTCTCATCAACCTCTTTCAATATATATAGATAGAATAATGTTCACCTACCCACGGTGGGCACATATTAATATGCCCACCGCTTATGTGGCATGCACACATTGGTTGTGTATTTTTTTGAACATATTAATATCACCAATATTTGAATGCCACATAAGCGGTGGACATATTAACATGTGTCCACCGTGGGTAGGGGAGCATTGTCCTATATAGATATCTATATCTATATGTATATATATAAAGAGACAACATATTTACCAAAAATAGTAAAAGAAAAAGTCAACCAACATTTATTGCATTTTATTTTTGGCAGTTTTTATTTACTTTTTTTAAATTATTCCTAAAAAATCAATCAACTATATATGTGCCCTAAATTCATGGGTTTTGTGGATTTAATTTAGGTAAATTTCGACTGATGATTACAATTTTGCAAAATTCAAAATTCTTTCTCATTTTTTATTTAAAAAAAAACTGATTACCATAAAATCGAGAATTTTGAATTAGGCAAAATTCTATCACATATATCTTTTACTAATTACAACAGATTAATTGTTTATTAAAAATATCGGATTACATAGAAACCCGGTGAAATTATGTAAATTTCGGCATGACAACTTTGTTAAAGTGAAAATTCTCTCATTTATTATTAAAAAAAGTTTTATTTACCATAAAATCAGGAATTTCGAATTAAGCAAAATATTATAACATGTGTGTTTACCTAATTGCAACAGATTAAGTTTATTAAAAAAATTTGATTGTATAGAAATCAGACTCACTTTCAAATTGAAAATTAAATTTAGAATCACTTATTATTTGACTATTAATTTCTTTAATTCAATTTTTTTAAACATAAAATAGAGTCAGATAATATTAATTTACAATTTAAAATGAAATTGGCTTGGAACATCCTAAAAATTCGGGTGTTGTTTAATCCTCTTTAATTCAAATTTGAAATTGATTGCCTACACTTACAAGATAATAATGATTGCAGACACTTACAAAATAAATAATGATTGCATACACTTACAAAATATCATATATATCCTGCTAAATAATTAATTTATTTATTTAAGCCTATCTCGAATCTTAATATAATTTGTGGTGATATATGATATACCAAAAGACCAAATAAATAATGTGTGTACAAAGATGTATTTAATAATATATAAGTTACATTCTGTTTATTCCAATACATGCGTTTTACGTTCTTCCGATCATCTAATTATTCAAATCTAAATGTTTACCTTAATAAAATAAGCCTGTGCATCGAACGAGTATCACACTAGTAAATATAGAATAGAATAAGGTTAAATTATTTTTGGAAAGTTTTTACCCGCTATAAACATTAACTAGTATTCGATCCTGTGCATTTGTACAGATGTAAATAAAGTATTGTGAAGTATTGTGAGTTATTTGTATGCATATAATGATTAATTATTTTTCTTTCACTTTTTTGCATGCCAACATTTACAAATAAAGAAGTTGGAATATTTACTTTTTTTTAAAAAAAATGCGTTTATCTGATTGGATGTAATATATATTTTGTACGTCTTTTGACTCTTTTTTTTGAATTATTTATCATTTATTTAAGAATTTCAAATACGTTTTTATTTTTTTAAAAAAATAATAATTTAAATGTAACCACAATCTAATCATATTATACGATCAAAACATTA